ATAAAGGAAAGTACGTTATGTATATTTGCATGTCAACAGACAACTGGGCATTGTTTCTACTGTGAATGGTCCAGCGTTAAGCCATATCATGAAGAAGAGAAAAGAGAAAATACAGAGTGAAAATGAAAATAGTTTGGGCAAACTGAACATTATTTCTACTATGAATGGTTCAGTCTCCGGCTCATATTTGTCTTTTCTTTTTTAGAACAAAGTCAGAGAAATACTAAATTTTTAAATATTTTACAGCTCAGGGCGACCAGGCATTGTTTCCATGACGAATGGCCCAGTCATCTGCCCAAAAAGAAGAAAGAAGTAGCCGTTCAACCTGTTCATGTATACCATAAAGACAAGCTGGACATTGTTTCCATGGTGAATGGTCCAACTCTATGTCTTATGTAAGATGGGTATAAGGATTCAAGAACTTGAAGTTTCACGAACTATATATATGGAATGAACTTGGGATGGTGAGAGTACTTACATTCGTGGTTTGGTTTGCATGTGACTGGATGGGATGACTAGTTTATTTGCGGTTTCAGTTTTATAGGTAGTTGCTTTAGTTGCTCGCCACGTGCTAGAGCCATAGGAGTTAGTATCAATTCCTGCATTTTTTTGTAATAACATTTTTTACTTAGGTCAATTCCTCCATTTTTCTGAGATCTTTTCTTATACTTGGCTTTATATAAATCTTGGCAAGCTACTTTTCCTACGGGAAGCGCTGTCGAAATTTCTACAAATCCAAGAAGTTAGTCAACTTTTGACTTATTAGAGTTCAACTTGTCTTTTCCATATATCTGGCCTAGTTAAAATCTGGGAAGTCTCCTTTTCTAAAGGGAGTTAGACAAAATTGAACTTTGGGAAACCAAAATTACTTTCAAAATCTGAACTTAGCCTTGTATAAATTTTGGAATAACACTTTTCTAAAGGGAGTGCTGCCGAAATTTTTACAAAATTAGGGGTTAGTTAAATTCAGTCTAAAGTTGAGCTCGAGTTGTTGTTCGAGTTCATATCTGACTTAGTATAAATCTGGAAAGTCTCCCTTTCTAAAGGGAGTGCTGCCAAAATTTCTACTAATTCGGAGAGTTAGACAT